GATGAAAGAAGGGAAGAACTAGAAGTCCTCTGAAGGGAGCAGTGCTCAGCTCCTCAGCCATCAGTTCTCCAGATTTCACTCAAGGAAAATGAAGAGCGAATATATCCACAAAAAGATTTAATTTGTTTCATGCTCTTTTTCTTGGCAATTCCTTGGTAAAAGGTGATAGGGCTCATATGAATGATCCATCCACTCAAAAACTCTTTGAGCCAATGTTTTCACAAACAGCAGCTTGATCAATTTGCCTGAAGATTTGGGGATTTTCAGGTTAAATGCAATCCTTAAGATATAGCACACCCTGAGAAATTAGCTCTTCTGGAAATTATTGAATCCCTCGCTACTTTTCTAAAATCATTCTGTGCTGCAAGTGCCAGCAATGGATTATACAACATCTTGAGAACAGACATGAAAATAAATGGAAAATTCACCTTAAAATTGTTTCTGCCTGCCAGAAAACCTGCTATCTTGCACCACTCTGCTCAGGTCTTCTTTGTTTCAGTTGTTCTTTTTGTAGTCACACAAAGAGTATTTGCATATGGATAACAAAGCAATTTTTTCCCTAGCTTTTTTTAGTCTTGTTTTATTATTGACCCTGATAAGCCTGGAAAACAAAAGTCACACATTGCTCCAGACACAGCAAGCTATGTAGGCATCATCAAAAAAATCCTATAAAGCACTACTAAGTACCTTGAGTTTTTGTCTGTCTTTTGGTTGTTTAACACATCCCCCACCACCCCCTTTTGGCAAGGTTCCCTTTCCATAAGTTCTGTTTTTCTGCATCTTTGTCTGCTGCCAGACTCAGTCCCAACAACTTCCAGAGCCATTTTTGCCATGTCATTATGTGAACGTTCTGTAAAATCTGTACAAATCTGAATCCTTCAGTTTGGGCGCAATTTCCTCTTTTCCATCTCCAGCACATGATTTCCAATGCCTCCATGAGTTCTTGAAATGCCTGAACGAGTGCATGTTAGACTCTTTTTAAAAGAAAAAAAAACTTAGTCTTGGAATAATCATTTGTCTCCCAACAAAAGAAACCGAAGAATTCCTGTACACTATGGTGGCCAAACAAGAAAGCCACCGGGATGAAAAAAATCATTAAAGCAATCTTCAGCTTTGCTGTGGGCACAGCCTTTCACAGATCTCACTGTAGACATGACTATTCCAAGAATCTTGTTTTATGTCACTAACCACTCCAAACACATGCATGGACAACACATGTTGAACAAAATGGTTCATATGGCATCCCTTACACTCAAGTGGAGCTGACTCTTCAGACACGTGCTGCAAGATGAGGAACTACTGGGCACAGGTCCATTGCTGACCTCTGATGGTCAGACACAGACTTACATGGACAGGGGCAGCATCCTGGGCAAGCTGGAAGGACCCTCCAGATGAGGAGCAACTCCTGAACTGCTTGCCTAGACATCAAGCAAGGAGTTCAGAGTGAATAATCCACCTTGGAAAGCACTCTGCTTTAACCTCACCATCTCATCTTTGCAGAAACCAGTTTGAGCACAATCTTGGATCATACATGTAGGATGAGGAAGAACCGCAAGCCAGTGGGGTAGGATCATCCTTGAAAATGAAGCTGAGGGTCCCACATGATGTTCAGACTTCACCCAACCACAGCAAATACATTCACAACCCACTGGTGTCCATTTATAAGGTATGGGGAGACCTCAGCCTTCAGACCTCCAGTCTGCTACATCAAGTTCAACAACAGCAGCACTGAAGGTACCAAAACCTCCTGCCTCAGCAGCCACAGTCAGCTCAGCAGCTCCAGATATGAACACAAACCAGGGCCAGCATGACTGATAATTAGACCTGGTCATAATCAGTGTTTATTCACTGCAGAACAACACACCAGAAACAGGAAATATGTGGTGGAGGGAGGCACTGGAGAAAGGGCGAGATGTTTCAGACCAACTGCCTCTGCCCCACCCTACTTCTTTCCCCTCCCCAAAAGTCATGGGAGCTAAAATAACATTTCTTTCAGCAAATGTCAGATGGAGGAACTTTCATGACTCATCAGCTGTTGTTTTAGCCTGCGAGGGACTATAAATTACACTAATTAGAACATGGTATTTTTCTTGCAGTTATACAAAACACTGTCTCTTCCTGTGACATCTAAGAGCAGAGCCATCAAGCAGGAGCGTGCTCGGTACATGTTTTAACTAGAATCCACAATTCACTTGCATGAAAAATCCTCCTAGCAGCAAATTGGTGAGAGCTGGCAGAGTGCATCAAGAAAGCTGTGCTGAATTATGAGAGGAGGGAGAGTAAATTAGCGGCCAATCAAACCTGCCCAACAAGAAATGGAGCCATTCCTTACTGTCAAGGACTACAGCACCAGTATCACTTTCACTCTGAGCAGAAAAAAAAAAAAAAAGGTAATTTACAGGGTCTTCAGTCACACACACCACCAGCCCATGCAGGTAATAAGTTTAGCAGTTGGGATTGCATGTGTTTTGGGAGCAGCTTATTTGCATTTAGCCACATACACACATGCACAATCTTGGACAAGCCAAACAGAAAAGCCTGGATATAAGCTGTCACTTCAGCTCTCAAGCCTGAATTATCCCAGCAAAGTAAAAGCAAGGATTTATTCAGACCCCAACATCCCAAATCTGGCAATTACAACAGCCTCCTGCAGAGACACTGCCCTGGCTCACCTTCCAGCAAGATTCCTTCAGAGCCAGATAAAAAAAGGGATTTTTCTGCTGCATGTGCAGTATGGAGCCCCAGCCCATACACCCCCACCTTGGGGTCTGTATGTGAACAATGCACTCACAGGCACATAACCGATGAGCCCAGGGCCGTGGGGCAGGCTGGAGGTGGATAGCAAGCAAGGAGGGACCTCCAGCCTTGGCCAACAAGTTGTCAGCTAGATCTAGTCACACATTTTTCCATGGAAAATTGCTTTCTTCCCAGAGAGAGAGTGACTTTTCTCAAAGCAGGACTGTTGTGTTTCTTGTTTTAACGAGTTTATCAAGTTCAGCACTAGCTACTTCGATTTTCATAAAAATCTCATGTACCGCTGCCTAGGCTGGCAAAGACTAGGATATCCCCATTATGTATTGCCACCAGGCTTTTCAACAATGTGAGATAAAAACAGAAGATAAAGCTTTAAAAAAATAGTATCATTGAAGTAGCAAAGCCACTACACAACCCATAGCATATCCCTGCCTCCAGAAACTCCCAAGGCAAGCAACAGGAGTAGAAGGAGTCTGTTTGCTTGTGCTCTGCATGGAGATCGCAGCCCAGGAGCTGGAGGGGAGCAGCAAGGCCCAAATCCCCAGAGATTATCTCTGTGCTAAGAAATGCAAGCCTTTGGCACCAGCAAAACCCATTGGAGTGTTTCCCCAGCTGTTGGGAGCAGGGGCCTGCAGGGGTCCCTCGCACTGCTCTGTGCAAGGCACCGCCACAGCCAAGAGCAGCTGGAGCCCAAGTGCTTGAGAGCAGCTGCTCCAACAGCCCCCCTCCATCCCGAGCTGGGGGGCACAGCAAGATGGGCCCAGCTGCCTGCAGATGCCTCCCCTGGGGCCGGCCCCGTGCCCTGGCACCCAAAAGGACGCTCACCTGCCTGCCACCTCGGGGGAAAGAAGCAGCCCCCTTCCCCTCGCCCTTCCTGCTGGAGTTAGCAGCTTGAGTGCAGCAGTATCTGGCGGACATCTGGCCACTTGGATTTCCAGACAGTGACTCATGCACACATCCTGGGACAGCAGAACCTGTGGTATATGACCAAAGGTCCCACTCTCCCTTGATTTTGCAAGCTTTAATTTGCACCTGAGCCTCTTTCAGGCCAAATGAGCAAGGGGCTGGTTTGGGTATTACACTCACCCCCCCAGAAACAGCCCTTCTGGCAGGGCAGCAATGCACCAAGGGGATCACGCAAAGGGCCACAGGGGGTTTGAACACATAGCTCCACAGGCCAGGGCGCCACCGAGGGAGCCACAACATACATTAGAAAATGAATTCCTTAAGCAGAATACAAGCAGCAGGGGAATGAGTCAGAAAGTTTGTTTCTGCTGTTTGCCATAAACCACCCAGGTGCAACACAGACAAATCTCCTGAGCAAACGAGGTCACCAGCACCTCAGCTGGGGTTAGCAGAGAGCAGATCCTCACCCCCCACATCCTTCTGACACAGTGCATTTGTCCACTAACTATCAGAGCCTGAAGTGCCCTGATCTAGAGTAACGCATCTCAGCTAGGGGATTGTGAAAGGCTGAATAGGACGCTGCTAGGTGCTGGAAATATCATTTCTGTAAGTACAGATGTTGCTACTCCACTGCTAGCCAAGATCTACATCATCTTTTTGAAGCATGTGCAAGTGTAAATGGGTCCAGCATTCTCTCACTGGGGTTTTTTAACTCTTAGTTTTAAAATAAACAGAGGTAAAAAATAAATAAATAAATAAATAAACACAATTTTCAGACCCTGTTAAGGTATTACCACCCCAAGGAGGCAGAGATACACTGTGCTGTAAGGTGTCTGCATGCTATACGCACCACAGCAGGACAGAGAGAGGCACAGCCAGGTAAAACTACCCAAAACCCAGGGTACATTTGTCCTCCCAAAGGGCTCCTTCAAAGAGAACAGAGCCCATAGACTCCCTTGCCACCCCCCAGTCCCACCCTGCTCTTGCAAAAGACCCTCAGTCTCCTCTGCATGAGGCTCACTCAGTGAAACAGACAGCATATGGCATCCCACAATCAGCTGTATGATCTCATCTTGTCTGACTGCTATTTTTACAGCTTGTTATTAATAAGCATAAACCAGGAATGCGAGGTGCTGTCACGTTGGGTATTCACACGCTTGCAGCCCAGATGTTGCTTTATCAGGATTACACATTGTGGAGGGGCCACAGGGAGCCGTGTGCAGGTTATACAGCTTGTTCCCAGCTACAAGGAGCACATTGGTGAGACAGAAACAGAGCAACAGACCCATCCTCAAATTAAAGAAAATGACCTTTTAACAAAACTAGAGCGTTAGGCCTACCTTGGTGAAGTGGGGGAGGACAAACCAGGATTTCCAGCACAAACAACAGCCAGAAGGAGACACAAAACCCTGGCAGTGGGGCTGGAGAGGTATATATACCCTGGGTGGGGGTGTCAGCAGAACAGCTGAGCTCCATAACCTTCATGATGTCCCTCACTCCTGCTGGCTATCACCTCCTTACTGCACTGGCAGAGGGGAGATAAACTGGGGGCACCTGGTAGGGGGCCACAGCTGTGAAGCACTTAGCCCTGCTCTCACCTTTGCCAGACCCATCCAAAATTGTCACTGACTTTAGGTCCTCGCTGCCAGTAAACCCCGGAGCTGGGCTTGGATGGTAATTAGTGCAAGCTTCCAGCCTCATAGTATTGGTAAGGGGAAGTCTGCTCCTGAAACCATGAGTAGGTCTGACCTGCTGTTTCGTGGGCTGCACAGACACGGTATAATGAGTGCAGAAACATTCAGATGCCCAACAGGGGCTGCGTCCATGCCACTAGGCAGGGTGGTGTCTAGAGCATTCTCTCAAAGACAGCATTAAGGTCCCATCACTACATGAGTTTGAAGTCCATGTGTCGTCCATCAATTTCTTTTAGCCCGGATGGACATACAAATTGCTGGGGTCACTGCAGCCCTATCTTGGCTGGTTTTCCCCCACCAAAAAAAAAAAAAAAAAAGACATCTTGCAGAAAATGTCCCAAGAGAGGCTGCAACAAGCCCACTTTGACCGAAGACACACTGGTCGACTCTCTGACCTCATGATCTGCTCTCATTAAAAAGTCAGCCCTACCCCATCATGTGCTCAAGTGTTTTACCTGGAGATATGGAGAACAAAATATCTTTGAAGTCAGCAATATCCAGAGGAAGAACAAAAGGGGGAAAGTGCCCTCCAGCACACACAAGGCAGCACGCCAATGAAGGAGAAGTATCTGGCAGCCTGGCAGGTGTGGAGGGCACAGGTATATGACTGAGACATTGAGGCGGTTTCCACTCAAACCCCTGCAGTCACTCAAGCAGCAGATTAACCCCTGGGTGCAGAAATATCTGCTCACATGCTATGTACAGCCTTCCAGAGACACAGAGCTGGAGACAGGCTCAAGAGGAAGGAAGTGAAACGCTTCTCACAGATGATGACCAGAAATAAACATCCAAGGCAGGGGCCTCTGAGCCTGCTGCAAAAGGATGGGGAAAGAAAAAACGAAAAATGGGTCAGCGAAGGCAAAGTGTTGTGCCTCCTCTCTCTGGTCAATCAGATACCTCTGCATCCTCTCCTGCAAATCCCTAGGCCTGAGAGCTGAATCCACGTGAAGCTCTCGTTTCATCCCCATCTGAGCTGGCGTGAAGTCTGGGGCTGATTTCACGGGGCAACCATGCATAGTATCTCCTGCTGCTGGGATAAGGTAACAGGGGAAGACAGAGACATGGCAAAACCACATCATGCTCCTGGCATGATATAAAGTGCCTGGGGAAACCGAGGAAGGAGCACGATGCAAGGACTTCTTGTCGAGAAGCTCCTGGATGAGTTCCAGCCATGGAGACCAGCTAGGGCAGCCGGTGGGTGTAGAGAGCCAGAATGAAGAGGAACAGGAAAGACAAAATCTGGATCCATAGGATGACTTTCTTCCAGTCACAAGGCCTTGAAGGGAAGAGGGAAACCTCAGAGGTCCCACAGTGCTTCCCTCCTTCCCTCTCCAGCACCTGCCTGTCCCTGCTCCTGCCGGGGAGCCAACCCCAGGAGGCCATCTCCTCCTCTCGCCCAGCTGGAAAACACACTGGGGAGGGATCCTGGTTTTGAGAACAGAATGGGGCTGCTTAATGCACTATTGTTCAGTGCATAATTGCTTCCTTTCTTCCCCTCACTTCTGATAAAAACAGGGGCAATTCCTTCTAGCTGGAGGCAGCCTCCTCCAGGTTCTTACTTAAGTCCTTAAAGAGAGACTTTGCAAGGAAATAATTGCTGCCTTTATACTTCAGAGTCTTAACAAATATCTTTAGACCTCATTTCAACACTTAGTGGGTTTTATTTAGGTGTTGAAGGGATTGCCTTTTTTTTATTTTGTTTTTATTTTAGCTCCTGCAGTCTTTTTTTTTTTTTTTTTTTTTCCCTTTCTGTTTCTTTTTCCTCTTTCAATCCCGGAAAGAACATATGCATTTATAAAGTCAATTCAGAACTATTTTTAGGTTCAACGTTGTGCAAATTTAAAATTACTTCCAACAGTAATGTTTAATTCTGAAAAATAAGGTGCTTTGGATCAAATTAAATAAGGCTTTTAAGTAAGAAATATTAGTTTATCCCCAATATATTCCTGCTTAATGCAGGCTAAAATTTATATCCTGGTTCTGAAGGACTAAATTGTCCATCAAATTCTTTAGTAAACCTATAAATATCTCAGAAGGTGAGGAGGTCTCATCAGCTCAACACAGCCAGCGAATGATGGGGAAACTTCAGAGAAAAATGGCTTTAATAAAGCAAATATGGTTTCAGTGAATGGTGAAAGGTCTCACAATAGCAGCACTTACCCGATGCTCTTTCTCATGCATGGAAAAAAAATGCACGTCTGTATTCAGTACAAAAGGGAAGATGAAGGAAGGTGCAGCCCTTACTGACCCAGGAGGAGAAGACACCAGCTGTGTCCTTTGAGACAGGGCTGGAGCCCATCCACCAGGGTCTGGGGTGGACTAAAAGAAGAAAAAAAATAATCCAGACATACAGTATCACTTTGCTGCACAAGGACACATGCTTTTACCTTGTATCAAAGTGCATAAATTGGATTTCTCTTTAACCTGAGGAAAGAGACTGGAAATGGTAGTACCATCATCACAAGGATGCTGAAAAGAGTGACTGGACTGGCAGTCTCCAGCACGGCTTGGTTTTAGGGCTCTCCTGGACAAATGAGGATAGGCATAGCAACACCCAACATTACAAGATTAGGTTTTTGGAAGACCCCCATATAACAAAAAATTGAGAAATGCTGAACACACATATTCCATACCATGTAAGTAACCCAAAATCACAGAGCACCACATGCACTGAAGACTGAGAGGGAGAAAGACCTGTATGAGATCTGACTCTTGACAACCATAAACTATCTAGCAGACTGGCAACGTGTCTTTTTTTTGGTCTTTTTTTCCCCCAAAGAAGTCCCAAAGCCTATGGGCTGCGTGTTGTCATCAGCAAGAGCTGGGGAAGATCACCTGAAGTTTAGGGTTGGCTAGAGCCCATGTGAAAAGCAGGAAAATAGTCTGACATAGAAAAGGGAGATGTGAAAAATCAAGACGAAATCACACGAAGTTGGAGAAAACAGACTAAGTCTTTTTCCAGGGCTCCCTCTCCAGCCAACACACAAGTTCAGAGTCAAGCAAATATTTCCCAGCACCTCTGTCTGTCACTTCGGTTTTGCATCCTTATCAGCTGTGGATTGACCCCGTTACATTCCTCCTGCTCTCCAAAGGGCCAGGAATAAATCACACAGGCATGGTTTGAATGCCTGAGACTTAAGCTCGTGCTTAAAGTTAAGCTTGTGGTTAAGTGATTTGCTGGTGAATTTAGGCTCTGGAGTATTTGGCCAAATTGGGCCTAATGGGTTTGTCCCGGTGGAGTAGTCAGATTTGTAGGAAAGCTTAAGAAAATAGTTCTTAAATAAATCACATAATTTCAGAGGTTCAGAAAAGTATGATTTTTTTTCTGCTTCAGGTATAGTTTTGCAGGGAGGGTGGTCTTATTTTATCAGGTGAACATATCTTTGTTACATACGTGGACAATTTATACCTGCAAACTGCACCAGCTCTTTCTCTCCTCCCTCCCCAGCACACAAGTCCAAATAAGTGTTCCTCACAAATGTATTGGCAGAACAAAAGGTTCTTCATGAACAATATATTTATTGTTCACATTTAGAAAAATAAATACATTTTTAAAACATCCAAATTGAACCAAGGGAGTTGGGGGGAGGGGTATAAAGAAGGGATTAGTTTTCCTACCATAACACCTTCTTAAATTAACATTATTACTAAACAAAGGCACGTCAGAAGACACTTTTAATTAAATTGATTTATGGGAGAATTCAATGGATTTCTGCCAGTTTACACCAGGAGAGATTTTGACCCTAGGTGATTCTGTGTGTGGGAGAGATGTGTACCTCTCAGATAGGGGCTTCAGGGGGATCTTTCTGTTTCAATTTTAGATCGTCAATCTCTATTCGTGCTTATCATACAGCAAATCCTTGAGGTACCTTTACAGTTTGATCATAGATTGTCCTCGCTTGAGATGATTCTTTCTTTAAATAACAAAAACCTGAAAAAGCCAAAACTTGTATATGTTTGCTTGTTATGAGCATTTTGTAGGGGTTGAAGGTAGAGAAGCGTCTCACCAGATTGAAAACTTTTCCTACGGTGACCAGCATTGAGTAGAGAACAGTATGGAGGAGCACATGAAGGCATTGCACAGGAATACCTCTGCATGGCTTCTCTTAGAAAATTCAATTCATTCTGTGGACATTTTTCCCCTATCTAAGCAGCTCTTCACATCTGTCAGCTTCTCTCACCCAGCCTTCTCCCCAAGACCCTCCTGCTTTTCCAAAAGAGGTCCTTATAATCCTCAGCAACCCCTTCATCCTCTCCACTTCAAACCACTTCAGAAATGTCTGCCCAGAGCCTGTCCCTGGTACCACAGCCAGCTAAAAGCAGACCGTGTGGGTGAGACCAGATGTCCTCTCACCCTATCTGCAAGCCTCAGATCCTGGAAGCTGCTCTTCTTTGTGCCATTGTGAGGCAGATAGTCATCTTGACCCAGGCCCATAGGTTGAGAAAAAATAAATAAAAATGCAATCTGCCAGCACCAACTGGACTTATGGGTTAAGCCAATGTAGAAATGTGAAGAATGACTGCAGCAGGTCTCGCCAGGTAGGCCAGAAGCCAGCTGATGTCTTGAGTGGTTGTTTTCCTGCAGCTGCCTTCGTTCCTGCTGGTAGACCTGTCCAGCTTCTCCAGGAGAGCACAGAATAATTCCTTGCTGTGCTTCATCCCTTGGCAGCCACCTGAGAGCACAGCAGAGGGTTTAAGCAGGTACCTTGGTCCCTGCTGCTTCTCAGATCTTCTCATGCACAAGCTGCAGCTCAGGCTTTATGCCAGGGTTTATGGCCATTGCTGTAGGATTGCAGTGGGACACTTACATACACATCAGGTAAAAAAGATGCAGGCTTTCTGCTCCTTACCAGCAGTCTCCTTTCTCCCTTCTCCGTCTTAAATTCCTCTTCCACTCTTGCTGGGAAAAATGCTGGGTCTGTGCATCACAAACCTCGTCCAGCAGAACATCCAAACAATCCATGAGAAGACGCCTTGGACTCTGTTCTCTCTGCTGCAGCCAAGGTCTCATTGACTGGTGGAAAAAAGCACTGAAAAGCCTTGCTCTGTTGCTACATGTGATTTGCATATCACAAAGCAGAGAGCTGCAGACTTCAGGGCCATTACAAGGTCCCAAAACCTATTCTGCACCTGTTTTTGGCACCAGCCAAAAAGGGCATGCACTAGTCCAGGAGGAAGAAGACAACACTAGATCAGGTCACTCTCTGAAAATTAAGGTCTTTTTTTTTTTTTTTTTTGACGGTGTTTCTTCACTCCATTGTCCTGTTAATGTCTCATCCACACAGAGAAGCAGCTCTGCTATTTTCTTGGAGTCCATCCCAGCACGCTGGCTGTAACTCTCTGCTCTGTTTTTGTTCCCTCGTATTGAACCGATGACGTGCCCCACCGTCTTCATCAGATATAACTTTTGTCACCCTGTTTGATGGCGGTCTGAACAACATGATCCTTTCCCTCACTGGAGTTAAAAGACTTTATGACTTGGATCAGTTCCACCCACTGTCCAAGACTGATACAAACAGGGAGTGCATTGACTTTTGTTAAAATTTTACATTTGTTAAGCTTCTGCTGCATGTCCAGCCCATTCACCTTCCTGACACACAATCGAGTTTCCTCTCTGCATACTACACAAGCAGGCAACATACACCCAAAAAATGCAGAAATAATCTATTGATCCTGAGCTTTCAGAAACATGTATGTGCAGAAGCAAGGAGAAAACATTTCCTCTTTCCAACCTTCTCTTGGGCAAACAGGTTTTGGTGCGAAGAAAGTACACACACAGATTCTCGTAACACCATTGCTGTCATCCTGGAGAGGCAGGGAGGAACAGTAGATTAAAAGTCTTCTTGTTTCTTTTTTCTGAATGCTTTGTTCCCTCCCTAGGCTCTCACCTGCAGCTGGCAACAAGCTGAAAGCAGACCTGCAGGGGCAACCTCAGCAAGATTTGCCATGCGAGCACAGCCAAGCCTCCAGACAAATTCCCAGTTCTTTCACTCAGCTGTTCCTCTCTCCACATGACTGGATGTTGCCTCTCAAAAGTGACTCATTACAGAGGCATTTTGCATTTTTGGGGGGTAGATACAGCTACTCATTATGTGTGTGTAAAACACTTAGCACAATGGGCTGTGATCCCTGTGGGTTGGCTGTAGGCTCCGCTCCAAAGCAAACACATAACCCCACCACACAGCCCTGCAACTCACATAAGAACCTGTGAATTTTTTTGGCACCAGAAGGGATCACGTTGAAGTGCAAAGCTCCTGCATTTTAAAATGCCCCTGGATTTGGCCATGCATCTTTTCAGGACCTCCACATGCACACACATCAAGTTACACAGCTTGATCAGAGGGCCATATGGTGTGGGGGAAAAGGAGATATCTCAGGGAGAAAAGTATAACTATGGCCAGAATATACATATACACAGTTGCATTCCCATATTTGCTGCTAAAAGATGATGTATAAAGAGGATTTAGAGGTGATTTGTACTGGAGACACTCAGAAAGAGTGAGGCATTGCTTTTGCTAAGAGGAATCAGGTTTAAGTTATCCAGAGGAAACCTGTCAACACCGCTCTTATCAAGTGCCGAAGGATCACTCCTCTCCTGAAAACAAGATTCTGCTTTACTTCGAGCCTTGGAAATTATTTAGTATTTTTCCTGTTTTCCTTGTTTTAAGAATGCAATAAGTAACTGAGCATTTTGCAACTACATACTTATTCAAGATAAAGAATTATTTTTATTTATACAGCAATTTGTATGTGGACAAAAATAGCTTTTTCTGAACAACTTTAAGAAGTTTCATCTTCTTGGCTCTTTGGAACAGTACAGAGCAGGGCACTCTAAAACTTTTAAAACAAAAGATTTTTTTATTTTTTTTCAATGAAACATCAGGACATGAAACTCCAAACCCAGTGAAATATTGAGTTATGCAATAATGCTGTAATGTCTCTGCTTCTTCCAAATAAGCATTGGATGAAATGGGCACAGTCCTGGAGTGCTCTGAGCCTGTGACAAAGCCTTGCTCTCCACCTTTAGCTCCCTGGGCACCACGGATGAAGGCAACATGAAGCTGAGGCCATGGAGGGCACTGGCAGAGGAAGGCTGCAGCACTCAGCACTGAGACCTCAGGGAAAGCAGAACCATCCTGCACAAAGCAGAATTAGCCAAGACCTTGCCTTGAAAAGCAGGCCGCCAGCTAAAAAAGAGTTAAAGAGTATGAATTTTCATTCGGAGCAAATGATGTTCTTGGAATATATGAAACATCTATTACCAGACATCGATTTCTACCATATGGCAAATGCATTACTTTCTCTTCTAAATACACTTGCAGCTACAGGCTCACACCTCGCTGTCAGCTATTACACTGTGACAGAGAAGTCCGCTTTGATGAAACGCATCGGTCTGGCAAGCTGAGGGTGTTCAGACGGCGGTACGAACGCGGGGACTCGCTGTTCTCATCCAGTCCCTGTCTCTGAATTACACCACGCAGCCTGCAGTGCATCCGTGACGAGGGAACGTCTTCAGCCAAAGTGTCGCTGTGATTAAGCAAGCTAATTCAACTCAGATAAGTTCTTCAAATCATTTCTAAAGCTCCAAGCAGGCTTTCAACGAGGATTTGTTTTGGCAGGTCTCAGTCTTTTCTATCTCATCATCATATGCTGCAATGGAAAAGAAAGATTTCAGGGCTCTCTTTCCTGGCTGTTAAAACAGGAGGGAGGCCTCTCAAATTCATTTGCAGTTCACAGGTTGGAAACATCTGATCTGAGCAGCTCAGTTGGTTTACATTTCTTATTCTCAGCAAGAAATGCATCAGGAAAACTGCCCTGCAATATTTTCAGTGTAGCTGGAAGCAAGGTCCGCTGGATTTCACTTCTTAAGGTACTTCCAGCTTAACCCCTCTGAATGGATAACATTCAGAAGAGCAGAAGAGAAGCAGAGCACAAGTCACAGAAATTCTGGACAGCACAGATCCAGCTTCAAACAGGTGGTTTTTTTCTAAGCAAAAAAATATGACATCCAAATGTGTCTCCTAGTGACTCAATTTGGCCCAACTACACAGAAAAATCTTGTCTGTTTTTCTCTGGCTCGTGCCTCTAAACCTGCTAAGTACCTTTCCCTTGTTATTGCCATCAGCCTTGCCTAGGACTTACACTGCGATCAGATTCAGAGTTTTGATGTGACCTTCTAAAGTTTAATCTCCTTCCTCCCTGACAGCACAATCATAATTATTGATATTAGCTGACATGCACTTGCTGATTAAATCTAAAATAAATACTAATTGCCAATGCATCATTAAAAAGCAAAGACAGCATCTGACTCCAGGTCAAGTATGGGCAAAGATCCAGTCGCAATTAAAGAGAAACCCTGCCTTGGCAATGAATTTGGTAGGGCTAGCACCTTGCAGGTTGTTCGGGGAGATTTCGGGAATCTCTGTGATGGCAAAAGTCTAAAAGCTTCTATCCTTGTGGGGCAACACACCAAACATGTGCACTTTTAGTGCAGCACAGCTGAGTGAGCTGCCTAAGGCCAGGACAACATGAAACAAGTCCACTGCTGTTCAGTTCAACCCCATGCGCCATCTCTGGTACTGATACCCAGCCTATAAAGACAATATTCACCCTAAGGGGTCTGCCTCTGCACTAGTGTGGGCACAGGATGAAAGCTACATGCATAGTTTCATGATGCTTTCTGGACCTGTTTGCCCACCACGAGTTGTGCTGCGTCCCAGCGTCCCGACGTAAACGTCGAACGGGCTCAATCAGCAACAAAAAAAATCCTAGCGGCCCTAACAGCTTGCATCTGTGTTTGGCTCTTTTTTTTTTTTTTGTTTTCTGAAGCTTTTTCTTGTCTTTTAATAAGGAGTTCAGGCCCATATCTCTCTCACCCCAAAGCTGATCCAGCCACTTACGGGATTCTCAGTGAGATCATTCAGGAAATATTTCCAGTTGGAGGTCTTTGCTTGGGGATTTTTTATTTATTTTGTCCTGTGCTTGGCATAAGTTACAGGTGCTTTTCCTATTTTGGATGGAAATGATATTAAGCAGTATTCCTAAAGGTCCTTTTGGCTTTTTTTTTTTTTTTTTTAATTTGCCAAAAAAGCTTTTGAAGGAACATCCTCCCCTGGCCCCCAGTCTGACAGGATTCCCTGACCTGCATAACGCTGTCCAGATTGAAGCATGAGAAACATTTCGAAAATGAACTATGCTGAAGTCTGGGAGTTATTAGCTGCCAAGAAATCCCAAAAGCTTTTAAACCTTGTTTGCAGCTGCAGAGGAGGAAACCTAGGTGCTATTCTTAGAGGAATTGAACAGGAACTGTAAATTCAAGGCAACTCGCTGCTAAAATACAAAGGTAAAGAATTAAAACAGACTTCAGAAAAGAGAACCCAAGCCATAATGATGCCAAAGTGACTGATTGAAAAGGAAGTTAAAAAAAAAAAATCAGTGTACCTAGCTGGGATATAAAATTCAGAGTGAGGCAAAGCAGCACTTTCACTGAAATTCTGTGTCCTTCGTGGAGGGCTGCAGATCTGGGAGAGGAGGCTGGAGAGCCTGCAGAGGTGAGAGATTTGTGCTGCACTCCTGGCACAAAGAGGCAAAGACCAGACTCATACAGCCAGCCCATAAACACCTACGTGAAGGAACAAAACATTTCTCCAGGCCCACTGCAGCCTCAGAAAATCAGGTCCTGTCCAGTTGCCTTATGTTCAAGCCCTTCAAGAGAAGCGTCCTGAAGGAACTCGTCGCTTGCCACCATCTCCTCCAAGGACTCAAGGACTCCAGAAAGGCAAGCTAGACTCTCAAGGCAGGAGAATACTTTTGCACACCTGGCTTATGCTACTTTAAGGGAAATTACTCTTAGGAGCTAATTAAAATGCATGATTTCCCCCCTCTAGCTGTATAGATTAATCTATTTCATTTTCAAAAATCTCTCTTTTTTTTTTCCCATCACTTCAAGTATTCAGAAGAGATTACATTATTACAATCACAACTTGGCCTCGGTCCCAGAGTACAGAGATGAAGAGAGAAAAGGCTTTTGTTGAGTGCACACACACACACACACACTCACTCACATGCGCACACACGCAAGCACCAAGCACTCAGCATAAGGGGTCGCTGCTATAGGGTACATGAGAGCACGTTAATCAACTAACAGCTGGGGGGGAGGACTCAATTCTTATGGCAGAAGCCATGGAAGTGAAAAATTTCTAGTGGAACATAAAGTCAATACAACAGAAAAAAAAATTAAATAAAAGAATAGGGAACAGGATGGAAAACTGTGAGTCAATTTTACATAAATATGTATATATGTATATATTTTAAGCAGGAAAAAGCATATGTCTTGGTCTCTCAGAAGCAATGGAACAGAAGGAACAATTTTTACCAGGGTTCAGTGGTTGCTGCTGGGCACTGCAGGGATGAACTTGATGGCAAGGTTGCATCCAGGTGAAAGCAAGGCCTCTCAGCCAGCCAGATCCTTCTGGCTCGATCCACAGCTAAAAGAGGTTAAACAGCTACTAATAAATCAGTACAGAGCAGTCCTAATGCAATGAGAGAGTTGCAAGGGGGAAAAAAAATGAGAAAAACGACATCTTATGTTAAGATGCTTTATTAGAGTGCAGCTATTCAAACTTCCCCTGGAAGGAACTAATCCCTTGAGGTAAAGGGACCAGATTTTCTGTCAGTTATGCCAAAGTGCTTTCTTCAAAATTAATGCAAGGGCTGGGAAGCTCACACAGTTAAACGAGAGCAGAACCGCTGTCCCTGCAGGATTCCTCCTCCCATTGCCGGCCTCCCTCTCCGCTGCAGATGTTTGGGGAGGGGAGGAGGCCGAGGCTGCGCTTCCACATCTATTAATATCACATCTGTACTCCCAGATTTCGTGGCAGGACGAATTTGATCTGGATCAAGCACAAAGGCATTTTTGTTGAATTAGCCCGAGCACATGATGTGATGTGCTCCAGTTGTAAGCTGGTTGCCCATCTTCTGTCAGGCTGAAGATGATGGACAGGACTGGACACAGCATAGAGGCTGCCAGGATAAAGTTACATCTCCAAAATACTTGAGTGTATTTGAAGCAGCCTGGTGGTTGTACAGGGTCAGGACTTTGTAAGGCAAGGATCGTGCCCTTTCTTTGGACACCTTAAATCCAGATGCAGAAGCTCATGGAACAAAGGCCACAAAAGCAGACTCTTAAAGCCGGAATCTGCACATGCAAAACAGTCACCATTCTCGAAAAGCCCATACTCACAAGAAAAAGAGACAAGCTGAGGATTAGATCCAAGTCTCTTCCTCTTTCTTGCTGAATCAGGGTCCCCAGTCGGCAGCGCTGCTAGTGCCCAAGACCTCTGTGTGCCCTGGCAGCGCAGCTCCCAGCGAGCCTACTGCTGAGGGGTCTTCTGAGGGGGGGCAGCAGCTCCGAGCACCAGCACTAATGACCAAAAAATTTCATTTCTGTATTTCATCGGAAGGATTTGGGTTTTTAAATTATATATTTAGTGAAAACACAAATAATTCATGAGTGTTTTCAAATACATGAATAATTCAAGCTGGAACAGAAATAGCTAAATCATCAGGGCCATCATCCTCGTAGAGGCATATAGCATAGGTTATTTCAAGTACATTTCACTGCAGGCTGGCACGTGCACATATTCTCTAATAAGCAGCTGCACCAGTGTCTTTTAGCCTCCACAAAACCCAGCTAGTCACAATATCCCAGACTGAGGACGCCTGCGATGCATCTGAGCCCTAGCTGAGCTCTGGGTTTAAGAGCAAGGACAGAACCAGTTTGAAATCCCATTTTATGGCTCCCCAAACCACATCTGAACCATGTGGTACGTGTGTGGCATTTAGGAACAAATTATCTGAACACCATACAACTGTTCGCTAATAGCTGACTCCGAACTCTAGCAACCAGCATTCCTGCATGCATATTTGTGGCCGGCATTGTGTAGACTTTGAGGCATGTATATTTGTTAATTTGAAGTCTGTGTATTTTGTGGGCAGCGAGGGTGTAACACTGAAACCATAACTTCATTGTGAAAAAGTTTGCACTTCATACATATATATTATGGAAATTTGGAATGAGCTGGATGGTCAGACACATTCAGAGGAGTTCTCAGAACAAAAGCTCACATTTTTAAGTAACTTTTAATGACAGTTTCCATTATCTTCACATCAACGGTTTTCTTTCTTTCTTTTTTTTTTTTAGTATTATTCCTCTTATTTTGTTTTCAAACTTTACTTTTAATTTCCAGTTACATTTATGTTAAGACTGCATTTTACATTTCACTTATCCCATTCCATCCAACAGCATCCCTTAAGGCCACTCTACATCTACTAATATAAACTGAAAACGTATGGCTATTTTGTCAGGTAATCAGGGACACATTCAGCCTCCCGAAAGAGCAGTGGTTTATCATTTAGGTTTGAAGCATAAAATGTTTGGAGGAAAAAAAAAAAAAAAGAAAAAAAAAGAAAAAAAAAGGCCCTCCTTTGACATCCCATTTCTTGCTATTTTAGTGCACAATGCCAAAACTGTATTCCAGTACATGCATCACCCTGCCTCCAACCTCCCCCTTGTTCTGGCCTTCACACCACGCCTGGTCAGCCTCATGCCAGGACGAAATTTAAAACTCAGACCCAGAGAACTGCAAATTCAGCATCACCAAAAAAGCCTGTAGCTGTTGTCACCTTAAGTTCTGCAAACACTGACGGAGAGGAAACCCAGCCAAATCTCACAATGAGCTTCATGCAGGAACATGGCTTTTGTTCATCCGGAGAGCTCAGCCAGGCCCAGGATGCTGCTAGCCTCCACACAGCGCAAAAAGACAAAGGAGAAAGTCTCAGCCCAGAAAAATGGAGTTAAGCATTCCTGTCTGTGAGCATTTCCATTAAGGACATTATACTGCTTACTGAACTCTCAGCATGTCATCTTCAGGATACCCTTGTCCCGCCGGGGACACAATCCCTCCATGCTCCTGGTAGGAGGAGACATTGGTGCTTCTGAGATGGCAACATCCTCCCACCAGCCTCTTGAGAGCCCTGAATGATCAGCATGGGGAATATCTAACTTTAAGGAAAAAAAATAATTAGGTAAATCGCTGTCCCATGTACCACACTGCAGAAGAAGGCTTTCTGGGGTGGATTAAATGGCTATTTTCTGGCCAGAGATGACACAGGGAAAGGCAAAAAAATATCAGAGAAAAATATCAGATATAAGTGTAATGTTACATTAAAAGGAAATTAAGGAGTTACGGTATTGACTTATACAGTTATATCTGATGACATTTTACATTCCCTGCTTATTAGCCCAGCTGTGTCTCAGGTTTGGAAAAACTTGGATTCAGAACAACCAACAAAAAAAATCTGCATGGCAAACGGCTAACACTGGGTGTGCTGGAGCCATGTCTTTCCTGACGCTCTGATCTTGGGAAATATAATGGCTCATTCATTCTCTCCTTTTTTTTTTTCTTCCCTTCAGTTTTGTAGGAATTCTCCCATTGTAACAAGCCTTTGACCTAACCTCCATTTCTTCTAATACAGCCTGACATCTTCCCATCATATGTTAACAGTGTGTGTCTTCAGTGAAAGGCAAACCGGCGATGGTGCTCGGAGGCCTAAAGAAAAGCAACGTGGAGGAAGAAAGAAAGAGGAACCTCGACCTCGCTGGTCCTTCCCAGCAATCTGTTGCTCCAGCAACTGAAAATCAAACAATGATGTCAAGACAACGCAGCCGGCCACTCTAAACCCCGCATCCAGTTGCTAGAGCAACTAGTTTTTAAAGTAAGTGATGCAGAGAGTTTGTTTCTCAGAAGTTAAAAAAAATAATAAATTTAAAAAATAAATAAATGAGGGAGTAAATCAAGGCAGAGGATGTGTACCTTGGGCTGGGGGCTGGGGGGGGGGGCCTGTGCCGCAGTGCCTGCTGAAGGGTCGGGGCAGAGCAGCCTCCCGGGAGCAAATTGCTCTGCTTTTCCTTTCACCAGAGGAAATGCCAGAGAAGCGAGCGCTGCTGCCAGATGCCACATGGCCACCAAATGTTCCCCACCGGCTCAGCAGCGCGGGGAGGGCTGCCCGTCTCGCTTTCATCCCTGCTGCCCTCTGCCCCCCCAGCTGTCGCTGCCCGGCAGCCCCATCTGTCCCGCGGCCGTGGTTGTGCTGGGCAGCTTCCAGGCTTCAAATGAGGAGGACAGGTGCTGGGGCCACCCCTGTGCAGAAAGCCTCTCACAGCTCCTGCTGCCCTCCAGGCTTCTCCCCAGCCTCCTGGAGAGAGCTTTCTTGTCTGGAACCTCACTTCCTGGCTTCCAGAGAGCTGAAACCTATGGCAAAAAGGCACAGCTTTGGGATTTCACCCCTAAAACTCTCCCAGCACTCTGCTTCTGCTCCAACAGAAGATGGGAGGTGAGGGACAACCTTCATCCACGTTCCCTGTGTGGAGCGACCTCGCTGAGCTCAGCCACGCCGCTGACCTCCTAAGGAGATGCTTCTCCCCGCGCGCCTACGGGGAGCGACGTGATTAACTCTTCCACTGATTCATCCTTATCCATTTATCTAATAGAAACCATTTCGTACTCCATTAGGCCCTTGCCCTCACTGAGTAATCCCCGGTTGTATCATGCCTTGGAATTAGTCTGTAAGGTCCTCAGGGCAGGGATCATGCCTTGGAAGGTGCCTCGCAGACTTTAGGCCACTGCTAAATTAATAAGAACGTAATAAAAGTATTAGAGAGCGCTACCGAGGGAGGTATTGTTATGCCCCAGAGGCAGCATATCTGGTTAACAACCCTGAAAAGAAATGCCAACAACATTAGCCTCTGCCCCTACATCCCTCTGCCTAATGTAAAATTAAATAGCTACAAATTACCTATCTATTTTTCTATCTGCCTAGGCAATTAGCCCACGCTCATTACTGGACATATGGGGATACATCCAAGCGCTCATCAAGACGGGAGGCACAGCACGTAACATGGCACAAGTGGGTTCTCCCAGGCCTTCAAGCTCCATTATAAAACATAGCATTAAACCCACAATACATTGGACCATTAGCGGAGGTCAGGAAAACCCTGCCTCATCCTAGGGAAGGGGGAAAACCTGCAAAATCTGGCAAGAAAAGCGTCCAAACAACAAACCAAGAGCCAACAGTGGCAAACAGGCTGTGAGAGCCCTCTCAAAGTGCACGGAGGATGAAGACAAGCAGCCAGGGATGTTTATTCATATGGGAAAGGCGAACACCAAACTACAGGCAAATACGGCTCAGTGCATTTATTTGCAATTAAAGCACGTGCATACATCTCCATGAAGATGAGGTGCACCCTACTGACTAGCGAGCCCGCTGCCAACAGTGCCTCGTCAAGGATAAATCCACAGAAATGCAGCAATGGGATAATGGAGCATCAAGAGAAATATTCCCTGGGAACACCCAGCCAGAGGCTGCCCGGTCAGCAGCAGGGAACGAAACCCCCCTGGATGCCCTGGTGGGGATGATGGCTGCTTCGGGCAGTGCAGCAGCAGCCCCACACGCCATGGCTCCATTAAGCAAAGACTGCTGTCGCGAATGCACTTTAATCCAGTTAAGTTCAAGCCCTCCGTTTTTACAGTTTGACAGTAATGCTATATTTTTATTCAGTGCAGGATCAGAGGTCTGACGAAACCTCGTGTTGCCAACATAAAAGTGGAAGGAGCTTTAGCTAATCCCAATGAAAACCAAGTCCACTTCTTTCTCCCCACACCCCTCCTGTAAAGAAATAAAATGCAAACCCCACGTTTGACTCTTGGAAAGGAAAATTCCCTGCTGTCCTCAGATGGTTAAAACATGCAGCTTTAGCAGGCTGCAGAAGGAATAGTAATTACATACCCTTCACCTCTTGCCAGCTTGGGTTTTTTTGGTGTTGGTTTTTTCCTTTTTTTTTTTTTTTTTTTTTGTTGTGAGGTTTTGTTCTAAGTCTTTCAACTGTTCAACTGTACTTTTTTTTTTTTTTTTTTCCCAGTTATGTTCCTGAGGGAGCGAATCTCACCCTCCATGGGAAAGGGTGGGTTGGGGAGCATAAAAACAAGAGAAGGGAGTTCACAGCCTGCATCCATGTCATTAAAAAGAGAAAGAGAGAGAGAGAGAAGGAAAGCCCAGGGCTGCAGTGGAGTTAGCCTGGCCATAGTAAAGGAGCAGGTGTTGTACTGAGTTAATTTGTCTGGGAGGAGACCTGAGCAAATCCCAGCAGCCCTGCTGAGCAGAAAAGCTTTGCTTGCTGACACAAAGCCCTCCCTGCTGCAGCATCGCTCTTGCTGTCTTCCCTTCCCTCCTCCCCGGCTTCTCCTAACTGCAGGGCCAACGTCCCCTGACAAGTGCCCTCCAGCAGCCCTATCTCCCACCCTCCCTGCCCCAGCCCTGAGTATTACAACCTTCAGAGCAGCCCTGATGCACCAAGAGCAATGTTGCTGGCCGTTATGGCATCGCTGTGATGCCTGGTGCAGGGAGCAGAGCAAACGGGGCTCCAAAGATTCCCCCCTTTGAGGCTGCAAACCCAGGAGCCACATCAAAGCCGGCTGCGTGTCTGATGCTTGCTGTGAGTGATGGTGTCAGGGAGGGTCCTCTCTGCCTGCCTGCCACGCCGTGAATACGTGCACTGCCGGCACAGCCCCCAGCCTCGCCACAGGCTGAGCCTCAATTACGAGGTGGGTCTGGGGAGCAGCAAGCCAAGGCAAGCGAAGGTGGGAAGCAAGGTTATTTATAAAGTTATTAATATAGGGAGCTGGTCCTCACGGGGCAGAAGAAAAACAATCTGATACCGTCTTCTGTTCACAATGAGAAGAGGCCCAGGCTCAACAAGAATAGTCCCAGCAATTCTCACTCCCAAATGCATGCCCATAGAGCAGCACTTCCCCAGGGCTTTTACACACAAATCACCACTTCCACCTGGACAGCAGCACCTCCTCTTGCTGCTGGTGATTTACACAAAGCACACAGAGCCCAACGTGGCAGCAGGACTGAAGACAGCACCTCCAGAAGCTGATTTTCCCAACGGTGTGAAGAAGTGCTAAGGCTTCTCCACTACTCATACCATAGCAAGGCAGATTCATTGGAAGAAGATGATGTGTGCTGGGTTGCTCGAACCCCAGCTGCACCCACCCAGGTGCCAGCCAAACCACAGCGAGCTGTGGCCACCACCAGCCACATGGAGGGTGCATAGGAGGGGACAAGGCGGAGGTAAGAAGGGTGTTCCTGGTCCGTCCTCAGCTGCACCAAGCCCTTCACACTAAGTGATTTATAAAGGCACTTTGGGGAGGGACAGAAGGTGCCCATCAGACAAGAGTTACAAGAATTATACACACCCACATCGGTTTCTGTAGGAGTGACAGCTTCTGCGGTGCACTTAGGAGGCAAAGGAAGATTACAGGGCACCATCAAGCAGCGAGGGGAACCCCGTTCAAAAAGTGCCCAGAGATTTCACTGCACGGCAGAGCTGAAACAAAAGGCACCCTTTTAAGGCACAGTGAATGGAAAAGAGCATTGCAGAGGAGAGGGAGGAGCTGTGGGGATGGATGAGAGCAGCTGGAGAGGAATTCCAGGGGGATGTATAGACAGGCAGTCGCAAAGTCTGTTAATTATTTAAAAAATAAACGAACACAGAAGAGGATGTCCTGGTGAGGAGGGGGAGGCAGGACATCGGAGGGTCCATCAATTATACACAAACCAGCACAGGGACACGGCAAATAAGGTCTCAGTGGGCACCCTTGGGGCTCAGGCGATGTCACCAGAAGCTGGCTCTGTCCCACCCCCATGTCACAGCACGGTGCCTTTGTGTCCCCTCCTTACCCCTGCTTTGTGTTGTGCAGCTGGTGCCTGAATCCACGAGGGGAAGCAAAGTGCCAAGCACGGCTCTGTGGCTATGGCTGGTGCTGCTAATTGCATTGCAACCCCTTTTTCACCTGGCACTGCTGCTGCACGCAGAGAACCAGTCAGCTTGGGAGCCTCTCTGCTCATTTTTGGGATGGGTTGGGTGTTAGGCAGAAGTCAACTGCATCCAGGTTACTGCCTCTAGACCAAGGGAAGCAAAAAACACACAAGGCAGAAGACTTTTAATGATTCATCTTCCTGACCTGAGCTTGAACTGCCATGGAGCAGTATCTCCAGAGCTGCAGATCCCTAGAGGTTTCGATAGGATCACGCTGCACACAACGCTGCTGAGAACTATGCGACGTGGCCACCTACACTGACACACAGAAATAATAGTCCAGGACCGTACTTTCCTCATTTTGTGGTGTGCTAGCACTTGTCAAATGCACTTTCTGCACATGAGGTGGTATCAAGACACTCAACACACAATGAGCACAAGAATAAATGGGATTCAATCAAAAGGCAAATTTCAGCTTGCTGAGCTCTCTGAAAGTGACAGTAAAATACATCTCTCCCAGGAAAAAGAGCTGAATACCCTGCAAATCTCACCTTTCCCTGGCACAAGAGTCAGATGTTTCCTTCTAAGAGCTCCATTAACAGACAACAATAAAAATAAAAAATTTAATAGCAAACGTATTTCTTCCCATTTTTAGTATTTTCTAATAACTTCAGTGTTGAACTGATATCCCAGCGTCTTCATTGCAGCACTGCCCAGAAAATTTGCAGCTTAAGAGGGGAAGAACAATGTCAGGGCCAGCAGCAGTGCTCCTGCATCCCACACACATTTCTGTGGCTTTTTGGTAGGATGAGAATATATAAAATATTCACTAGAAACCAAAAGCACTGACTTGCTTTACGTATACCACCAACTAACCATCCAGCAAGAACCATTTTGGCTTACAAATGGGCGAGGCTGGAATTAAAACTGTCATCCCGAAAGCATGGAGACCCGTGGCCCATTACAAAACCTACACCCACCCAGGCTTTCTTCTCAAAGATGGTCATCCCAATTCCTCCTACTCCTCTACTCTTATATTTGACATGAACTAACGTCTTTTCTTTGAGTTGAGCTCCTCCTTAAAACACAGAAGCATGCAGCTCACAAGCAAGAGGGGTCATGTGTGTTTGATAGAAACCACCCATATAACTGAAACCACAATTTTTATGATAAATCGGCAAATGGGCAAACATGCAAAACTGTATCTGCCATAATGATTTATTTAAAATAAACAAATCCAGCTGTGGTGAAATAACGAGTTCTCTGCAAACACACACACATATTCTGGCTATTTCATTACAAACATATTAAATCTAGTCCCTCAACTCCAGCTCTTGATGATAATTAAATACACATAAATGTACTGCAGTGAATTTGCTCCTGGTAATTTGCATAGCAGAAAATAATTATTCTGGCAATTAGATATGGTGCAACACACTTTGTCTTTATGTGCACCACAAATTTCTTCTGATGGTTTTGCATCACCCTTTAAGAGTTTAATTAATTGAGGCCCCCTTCCTATTAACAGCGTGATACAGTGGGTTCATGGTGGCTTGGCCTCCTGTCATTAGAGCTTTGCTTCATTTACATGTTTGGGACAACTTTCAACACTGCTGCTAGGGCTGGTGCTGCAAACCTCGTACTGCCTGTAAAGAGCCAGCTCGTTGCAGGAAGCAGAGTTTTCCATTTGTTATTTATTATTTTGGTCATTTGTCCAATTGTGCTGGCCTTGTCCAGTCATTACCCAAAGAGTGCCAGGGCATCCTTCAGATCAAAGAAACAAATCTGCTTGCTCCCCTCCTCTGCAGTCTGTTTGTCCTGTCGTGCACAGGGATGATACATCTCTGACCAAGGAGCAGAGACTCAGACCTGCATCATTTAGGAGAGATGCCTCATCCCAGCCTCAGCTTTTTAGCCCCTAGGTTTAGAAAGCAGCCCCCAGACATCAGCAGGAATGAAGGGGAGGATCAAACAGATGAGGAGCATCAAGGAAAGCAAAGCTACTGAACAGATTTGCAGGGCTGGGGTTTGTACAGCCAGCAAGCCCGGCCTTTTCTTCTCTAAAGGCATTTCTCTTTGAACGTTGGTTGTAAAAGCCTGAGAGAAAGCCTTCTCTCCCTCTTGAGGCTGCTTCCTCAGCTACAGCTGCAGCCTCCCCTGCACTTCAGCCCCCAGCCTGTGCTGAAGGGCACGAGACGCATCGGGTTGCTTCCAGCACCCCTGATCTCAGGAGGGTCTCATTGCTCCAGCCCTTAAAGATGGGAGGGAGGCATGTGAGAGAAATAGGGATTAATTAAACCAAGAATTTTAGTAAATTTTTGAGTGCTGATTTGTTGCAGAACCACACATGGTAATAAAGGAACAGGGCAGCAGCTCTTCAGAGAGCCCAGAGAAACAGAGACAAAAAAACAGAGCAAGAAATGTTTAAGCAGTGAGACCATCACCAAGGGGAGCTTCTTCCCCTGCCCTTCTCTCCTGGTCCTACTTTCTTACAGCCTCAGAGCCACCCCAAGAGCATTGCCGCCTCTCCAGCCCCGTTGCCCTGTCCTGCTCCATTTCACAGGCTTGGCAGTGACCCCCAGCTCTCATCCAAAGCCGTTTGTACACCCCACACACACCTCCTTTTTTGTTGTCTTTCACCCTCTGATTTTAATTGCAATTTCATGCATTTCCACAGCAAGTGAGGAAAAAAAGATGTCACAGAAATGGGGGTAAGATGGGCAGAGGAAAATTCTTCCCTCTGTCACTGACTTCTACTATAACCTCGGGCAAGCTACTTCACCTCCATCCACCACTGCCTTCTTCAAAATATTGCCCAGAGAAATTTGTTGGGACAAATTGGACAGCTCACCCTCCAGACCCGCTACAAGTAGCCCTGAGCCCACCTGAAGGTCAGGCAGGGCAGGACAGGGGGACATGGCCACCCAACGCTCCCCCAGCACTGAGACCCACTGCTGGGCTGTGAAAAAGAAGGGGGAAAAACGCCACAAAAGGCAAGAATAAAAAGACTTCCAGCCCAGAGCATGGTTGGGAAGAGCGCACCCCTTTTTCTCAGGGTTACTCTTTTCTCTTTCTCTCTTTTTGGCCTGGCTCACGGCTGCCTGCAGCTCCCTCCGCTCGTTGCCTAGCACGGGCAGCATTCATGGCAAGCTGAGGTACACCATGGATGCTCCCTGGAAGCAGCTTGCTATTTCCTACCCAGATGTCCTTTATTTCGGTCAGTGTCACTGCTTGGAGAGGGACAAAAGCTCTTTATTTCCATGGCACTCATCTTCAGCTAGTCTAGCGACAGCCTTGCCTTACCTTCAGCTACGCTGTGCCCTAGACGAGTATGGTGCAGAGAATAATTCAAAACAAATCAAGAAAGTTAAACTTGTTAATCCTTCCATTCTGTAGGGCCGAGGGGTTATTTTACAAAGCACAAATGCTCAGGCTGCACAGTTCTGCTCAAGTGCCCTGTAACAGTCAAGAACAGCTGAAGCAATTAGCAATGCCCCATCTCCTCCAAAAGGCATAAACTCCAGGGAAGGAATCAATAGGAAAACTTTACAATACAGAGCCCTTAGCTCAAGACACGTTTTAGGGATAAAGCTTTTAAAAGACAGGGGATAAGATGCTAGACTAAGACTTAGGAAAGGGCTGAACCCTATCCTTGTGAATTTGGCCCTGCTAGAGAGCCTCAGGTTCCCATCTGAGATGTAAGATAGCGATATTTGCTTCCTTCATGAAGTCATTTGGAACCCACTGACAGAGCAGGCTACATAAGCAGTGTACCTCTGAGTTACTTACACCATCCTATTATTTAACAGAGTAACAGTTCAGACATGCCAGAACAGACAGAGGAAAATGCTTCTACAAACTTCTAACCCCAAGCACAGCATACACAGGATTTCTGGCTGGGGGTGAACCATCTCCTCCTGGTTAGATTTTGCAAGGGATCTGTTCATATTTACTTGTCCAGGCAGAAGGTTCAATTCCAAACTCCTCCAGTCCTGCATCTCCAAAAACCGTGCTTTTTACAAACAGGAAAGATGAAATGCTCTCAAACAATTGCTGACTACGTGATCGATGGAGAGTCAGGTCAACCTCTCAAACACACCAACTGTATTTTTTGTTAACAGAACTTGAGTCCAGGTTTCCAAAATATTGTCTGAATAGCAAGGCTTACCCACAGCTTTCAGATTTATGAATTTGCCTTTTATGAATCCGTATTTCACCTGAGATGTTTGTGATTTGTTTATGCCCTCCTTTGTCACGCGAGCACCAAACACCTCAGTCAGATAAAGTACAAAGACCAAGACTTAGAAAGATATCCTGATCATAAAAATGATTAATTTTTTACTCTCACAGGCCTTACTTGTTACTTCCACTGAAGTAAATGGGAGATTTGCCATTGCCTTCAATAGGGTGGAGCAGTGCCAGGGACTTTTGTCTGTTAATTCCTTGTGGATCATTTACAGCCTTCCAAGCACCACTGTAAAAATAAACTTCAGATTTTTAAAAAACCACACACACACACACAACAAAAAAACAACTGGAGTTAAAATGTGTATAAATACCCAGAGAGAAGCACTGGCATAACATCCCTACAGTATTTTCAGAATAGCTCATTATTTACTCATTAAATCAGTAAACGACAACCCCATTCTTCAGGACCAGCAGCACGTGCATTTGTCTCATCGGGGCAGGAAAAGACCAAATGATCCGTGATCCCAGGTATGGAGTTTGCTCCTGAATATCCACCGAGCCTGAGTAGAAAGAGCTGGGCTCTGAGCAAATAAACACAGAAAAACATGGGCCAAAAACCTCTGCACAGGGTTGCCGAGCATCTCTTCTTCATAACTTCTCTGCTGTTGACCAACGTTAGATGCCTGAACTTGTGATGAAGGGAGAAAAAGCAGGCTACCGGGGACAATGAGCAATGTTAGGTATTGAGGACGCTAAAATAGGGACAGAGTGTGAAAGCTCACCTACCCTCTATTTCTTCCACTTTCAATGTGCTCCTCCTATCTCAAATATTTGAGTGACACAAAAACCAACACTGGGATAGAGTTTGAGCATTTTTGCACCACACTGTTACATATTTTCAGGCAGAACCCTTCTAAAAGTAAATATTTTTTCCCGCAGAAAGCATGTGAAATGTCACACGCTTGCGAACTTCCACAAATCAGCTACTGAGAGAGTCAAAAACTGCAGCCCTGGACGAAACCAAGGGCAATGTTCCTGGGTGAACCTCCACCATCTTGTTGCAGCCATTCTCATGTCAACTGCTTGGGAAAAGAGGGGCTAAGACAAAAGGGGAGCTGAAAGCCCAGCGGCTTGAATCAGAGCTATAAAAGGAACAAAAGTAGCAGCAACAAAACTCTAAGGGCTCCTTTGGCACCCAAGGAGGAAGCTTAAAATACAGCCAGTTTCTCTCCGCCTTTTTTCTCCCTATCTTCTTCTAAAAAAAAAAAAAGAAAAAAAAAAGAGGGAAAGAAAGAAAAAAAAGACTGCTCTTAGAAACAATCTCTTTCTGTGTAAGCTGTTGCCAGAGTCTGAGAGAATAAGTTTCTGTGCCAGCCCATTCACATGGCCAGGTGAAAAGAAACTCATTCCTTTACAGCCACACAACATCTGCTGAGAAAGTGGGATGGGAAACACCAAAAAGGGAGAAGAGAAGAGCCGAGGCCTCCAGGTTAGAAGGGCAGCCCGTTCCCACCAGGGAGCCCCTCTTTCACTTGCAGACAACTGCTGCATTTGACATTTCAATGGGAACTGAGGCAGAGCAGGAGGGAGGGAGGTGGAGGGGGCTGGGAGGGCGCACATAAAGGGAGCCGGGGGAGAAAAGCAAGGGGACAACAATTCTGCACCTCTTTCATTTCTGCTTTCATGTTTTCCCCCGTAATATGACAGTCGGGAGAAAGCGGAGAGTTTCTTTTTAAAATCAGACGGACAGGCAGAGGGTTGGCACTGTTAAAAACTCCGTCGGGATGAATCGATTTTATGGGGCTTACAGGGAAAAAATCTTTTTTTTTTTTTTTTTTTTTTTTTTTGTCATCCCCTTTTTTGTTTGTGTTTTCAATGAGAAGGAAAAAGGATTTACATAAAATAAACAAAAAGAATGAATAGCAGCAAGCCCTGCCATGGGCACCAACAGTGGATGCTTTTAGAAAAGTTACACGAATATTGCTGCAGTGTTCAGCATTGTCTGAGTGCTCGACACAGACACATTCATCCCGGGGAGGAATTCAACAGTCCCCATCACTTCATACAAGGCCCTGAATGAGAGCTGCATGCTTTTTTAATCTGCTTTATAGAAACTTTCATCCAAACACATCAGATTAGTTTGTAAGGGCTTCAAAGCAGCCCTGGGCTGTAAACGGGTATTATCTCCATTTTACAGAACAGGAAACTGAGGCCCACAGGGAATCACTCAGGCAGCGTCCAGAAATGAATCACTGGCAAAGCCCGGAATAAAACTGGCTCCCAGGAGCACCATGCTCATCTGCAATGAATGCAGAAACGGCCTTGACTAAATGAGAGCCTCTCCGCTGGGTTTTATGCCAAGCCCAAATATACAAACCAAAAATAATGCAAACAAGGCCAAAAAAATGAAATAGTGCCTTCATATCTAGCACCACTACGGATATGTTGTCACTGAAGCCCACGTACTGGGAAGCATGAAGGAACCTCCCAGCCTTTGCTGAGAAGATAAGCAAACAGCCAAGGTGGGAAGATTGCAGAAGAGCAGCGCAGGAGGGTTATGGGGTCTCCTTGGAGGGGTGAGGTGCAAATTGGGTTCAACTTCCCCAAATTGAAATGGGAAATGTGATTTTACATCCTCAGCCACTTCAGGTTTGCTTCCTTCCTAGTGAGGATTCCCATGAATTCCCACCATGGTCAGCAACGGAGGCAAACAACCAAAGAGAGCCTGCAAAATGAACATTGTGCTCAACGTGCAACACTCACTGTGTAGTACTCAGGGGTGCCTTGCTATATGCTTGGGATGAGGAGAGAACCTCCAAAAAAGCCACAAACCCCTGAATGTCTAAACTGTAATTCAGAAGCGAGGATTAAAAAGGTTTAAATGTTTTGAGTTCAGCTGGAATCAGTCTAGAAAGACTTCAGCATCACTCACCCTTTTGTGCAATGAAAACTGCCAAACTTTGATCCTTCTTGACTGCTGTGCATGAACACTACTCCCATCCTGTCCCTGCTCCCCTTTACACGTGTGCACACAAACGAGTGGATTCCTGCTAGGAGGACAGTTCGCACCGGGACAGATTTAAGGGTGATCAAAGGAAGCAGCAGCTGCTTCCCAGTAACAGCAGTCAGTGTGTCCAGCATCATGACGAGCAAGTGCAACCTCCTGCACCCCCCCTGCCAAGCCAACCTCACTGTTCTACCCAAAGCTCTACAGGTTTTCTCACTTCCACAACATCTCTGCAGGCTAAATCAGGAATTCTGCTGTAAAATGATCCAGGAGCTTCTATGCAATGTATTCTCTGTATTTTTCACACCGTTAACAAGCCCAGTACCAGGTACAAGAGCCCTGGGCGATCCTAAGACCTCTTTGTCACTTCCCATCCCACCTTTTCCTTCCCTCACCACCCCTGTGACACCAAAAGGAAATTTACCTTTGCTGGAAAGGAGTTTTGTGCATCCTCCAGAACTACAGTGAAGTCTTCAGCCCATCTTCTGCAAACTCTTGTTTTTATTCTGGAAGAACAGTCAAGAGCAAGATCTCAGGCTTAATCCAGCACCAAAACAGCAAGCTATCCCAAGAACAGGAAGATTTACTGCTTGCCCATGCTCCCAACCGAAGTGTAGTACATGTGAACACATGGAGGGGTGAATCCAGATTAGTGCAAGGTGGGCTAGGCTGCGCCCATCGCTGCATCACTGCTCAGGGAGGATGGATTTTCAGCAGGAAGCAGGAGGCACCTCTGAACGCTATGGCTCTATTTTCCATCTGCAAAATGGGAATGAATTACACACACGGGCACTGAAAACCTATGTGGAAGAGAAAGCTGCAAAGTGCCAGTAGGAGGTTAAATCCCTTCCCCATACCTGGCTGTCAGGGAGAAGGAAGCAACAGATTTTTTAATTTTTATTTTTACATTTCCTAGCTATAATAAAGTTCCCCTCATTATTTTTGGGCAAGTTAGGGGACTTATCTGCAGCACAGCTTATCTTCTCCCCACCCTTTAATCCCAGAAGTGGCTAATTGAGTGCCAACGGGGCAGAGCCACCGAGGTGCTGCGCTCAGCCTCCGGGGCAGGTGACAAGGACAAGTCCGTCCCCAGCCAGCCAGAGGTGGCTCCAGCCAGCGCTGAGAGGCTTCACAGTTTCGGCTGCCCCTTTTTATAACACGCACTCAGAAAAAGAGATATCCGTGGGGTAACGGTGAGTAATGTGCTGGCTGCTATCTGCCTTGCTGAAAGGGCGATAAGAGCAAGTCGGTGATAGTCCCGCTTCCCAAATTAGGCAGCCAAATGATCAGGCCTTTGGAAAGACACCACAAAACCCCTCCCTGCCACCACCTCACCACTTGCAGATAAGCACCAAGCATTGCTAACAGCCTCAGCATCAGTCCCCGGCCTTTAAAAAGCCGTGACTCACAGGAGATTGGTTTAGATCTAATGTGATTTATTTTTTTTCCATCAACAAGTGTGAATCAGCTTCGGATTTTCTCCTCGTTGATGGACTACAAATGGGTTTTAAACCCAAAAATGTGATCAAGAGACAACTTGCTGTTCCTACAGCAGGATTTCAGTGATTTCTTTTTCTATTTGCAAGAAAGGTACAACTTTTTTTTTTTTTTTTTTCCAGCCAAGCCATGTGGCAACAACGTGTCTGTCAAAAGAATTCCTCAGGCTAAGTGAGGCATCTTCCACCTCTGCCCTTGGCTCAAGCCAAGTTTTTGAGCTCTAGTTCATACATATTCCACCAAAAATAACTGCCTCCAAGTCACAGTAGTGTCTTAGATGAAAGCAGTGCTGGAAGATGGGTTTGTTTTCATGCTGCCAGCAGCTATGTGCCAGTAACTGCTGGCACAGCAGGCACCCAGGTGGGCGATAGAAACGACCGCACCTGGTCCCATCACTGCTGGTTGTCTCAGGGCACCAGAGCCACGTTCCTGGGATGTTTGGCCCCTGCTTTGAAATCACCCCCAGCGCCTGGGGTAGGGGCTTGGGTGGCAGAGGCAAGGTTACAATCTTGGTTGTGCCTGAGCAAGGATCACCCTGCAAATGTCCCTAGGAGAAAACAGAACACCATTAAGAACTTGACACTGAAACGACTCTTTGGACCCAGTATTTTGCTGCTCTGTGCTCTCATTCTCCCTCAGCAGCTTTATGTGCCCTGGGGATGAAACTGTAGATCCACACCTCCCCAAACCAGAGATGAAAGATCTGGGGCTTAGCACTAGCTGAAGACCGGGGTGACCACAAGGCTAGGATCAGACTTCAGCCAAATCTTCCTGCACGTGCAGGAGTGCTTTCCACTGCGTTTCTGGTGTTTTCAAGCTCCTGGAGCAAGGACCATTTTTGTACAGCTTTTTTTTTGTACAGCTTAGCATCATTTATGTCCCAAAAGTTCCTATTTGCCAGGTTAACTCTGGGCAAAACTACACTGTTCTTTGTACCGTGCTATATCTCAGTGCTGACCTAAATTAACCTGAGACCCACAAGCTGCACGTGTTGAATTTGGAGCCTCCTCCACCTACCACTCCCCAGTCACATTCTAAGAAATCAGGAAGAAAAAAATCAGAACTTTAAATACAAATACAATGAAATCATCCGTAAGACATATGTGGTAACTTACCTGCTCGCTGTCACAATTAGCTTGCCTTTTTTTTTTTAAAAAAAAAAACTGAATTTAAAGCAGATGAAAGCCCTGAAGGCTAAAGTCTGCTAACTTCACCCCCCACCAGCTCCACAAATAAATCTTGTGGGTTTGGAAATAGCTGCTTCCCCACCTCTAACCACAGGCTTGACAGTCCCCGCCAAGCCTCTCTGTTTCATTACTTTCTGGATCTTTCACACACATACAAATATGCGTACACATACACACACACACACGAAAAGCTGCCCACTTATAAACCTGACAGGTAAAATTATTCCCTCTTTCTGCAGCCTTCCTAATTGCCTCCCCTGGGCTCTCGTGAAGCGCAGACGTCACTGGCTAAACACGAAGTTCACGCGGTGTCACTGCTGTGCCTTTCATTAAGGCAATATCTGTCTCGTAGCCCAGCGTGTGCGTTACTGCTAATTTCACTGTTCGGACCCACAAGTGGTGCGCGACTTTCCAGGCTGACTTTAAATCATTACGCCAACTTCCCACAGATATTTAAAGACAAGTTCTAAAGAAACCGCTTGAAAGATGTTGTGTTTGTTGTGGTTTTTTTTAAGCCCAGTCTTATATTTTTTGCTAACGTGTTTGTCCCAGCACACATGGGTGCGCTTCCTCCTAACAAGTTGCTCAGAAGTTGGTGGTAATTCAAGGCCACATTCAGCCAGTATCATTAAAATTGAGTTACGATATAAGAGTTATTACAAGGTTTTACAATATTTACCATCTTAAATCTCCACTGCTCGAGGCCTGAGAGAGTCTCTGGAAAAAAAAAAAAAAAAAAAAAAAAAAAAAACACAGAAGTGAATTTCCAAGTTGAATTTTCCAAAGAGAATTTCCCCATCGCAAAAGCAGGATCTCCCACACAAGCTGCTGGTGGTGTTTACACCTCCCGAAATCCAAAGGAGGAAGCATGCCACCTACAAGTAACGGCAGTGATTTTAATTGGATTACGGCATCAGGACATAAATAAGCAACCAAAATAATTAGCGTCGTGGTTCCTTGTTTGCAAATTGGGGCCTGTAACACTTGCTCCAAAGTTCAGGATGCAAACCTGCTCTTCTCAGAGCCCTTTTGAACCCTGTGCCCAGAAGCGATGGGACCTTAAAAATTCTAGAGCCAGACAAAAGAGACTGTGCAAGAATTGGACTTACCAAAAAAAAAAAAAAAAAACCACTTTAAAATTGAAAAAATAAACAAATCTGGCTGCTGCTAGCTGTGGGGCACTCAGAAAATAGCAGTGCCAAAGAAAGTTTTACTCTGTTAACGTACAGAAAAATAGCATAGTTTTATAATTTCTAACAAAGTGAAATAAATAGAATTAACTTAATGACTGATTTATAACAAAACAAACTGCCTCCAAAGAGCTTGGATTAATGAATAGTAGTGATCAACATAGTAGTTTTCCACTTTCTGAAGCTGTAGGTAGGAAAAACAAAGTATGCAAACCCAGATGCTTAAATCTGGGCTCCTGACTGTAGATTTGCACATTTAAAGTCCTTGTTCTAATTTTTCAAAGGATTCATAACAGCTCTGCAACTTAGAACACCAGACTGCATTGTTAGTACTCAACCAAGGATTTTTTGAAGCTTGAGATTTGAAAGGCTATGACTAGAAATATTGGAAATGAACCACTGAAATATCATAAAGTACCCACTGACTTCCCTACTGATTTCTTTCAGCAGGTGAATCTGCTGATTACAGATTGAACAGGGAGTCAATAATTCCCATTTCTATTTCCACCTCTGTCAATAAAACTATTCGGGAGCATTTCTTCCAGGAAAGATCACCTTCGTATCCTTCCATATGGGATATCTGTTTGTCAATGTTGGCTTAGGACGGAGATCTCTGCGTTAATCAGAGAGAGGCAGGAGCCCCAGCTGCTCAGTGCACGAGCTGGGTGTCAGGGAAGTTATCTCAGCACCCGCTGCCACCGTGGGCAATCCACACAGCTCCTGTGCTCCACAGGCCGGACTCTTTCAGACTATAAATCCACATTTTGATTGCAACAGCTCGTTCAGGATACAAGCAAGTCTAATAAGACCAGCTGCTACATCTGTAATAGATAGCTATGAAACTATGTTCCTCCTTTGCATAAAATGCGAGACCCTTATCCAAGCCCACAGAAACATTTCTGCCCCCCCGACAAATACCTAACCCCATTCAAAGGTGCAGGTATGCATACATTTATTCCATCTGTGCACTCGAGCTGCAGATTAAATACCATTTTTCTGGGCTTGACAGAAAAGAGACCTGGAGAAAAATGTGAAGAAAAAAACACCAGGCAATGGCTAGGATCTGAAAGCTGCTTCCACCACAGGTGTCCTGTTTCCCCCGAGGGCCACTTTTGGCTGTTTGTCGCCCCTCACCCCCACCCCAGAACATACAACCTGAAAAGCAGAGGGATGGGTTAATGCACTGAGGGGAACAAGTCACACTCTCCATCCCTTGCTGCTTTCCTCCTGCTAACAGAGGCAGGCCAGGCACCCCAGCGTGGTGCCCACATCTACCTCAAGGTTCACAAAGCCAGTTTCACACCTTCCTCCTTTCTGCCACCCCAGCAAGGAGAGCAAGTGTAGAAAAGACTGAAAAGGGCAGGATGGGTGCAAAGACCCCATGCCCAGCCATATAATGCTTACAGTAATGTTTGGAATACCCCAGAGGATAGTTTTCACTGGACAAAATTATGAATGCCAAAGATAGTAACTTCTCACCCCAAGGATGATGATCGAAGGAGACACCATCAGTCCTACCTGGGTTTATGGGGACTGACACGTTCCCTGTAGAAGAGCCTTAGCCAGCAGGTTGCTCCCTGACCAGGGCAGTGCAGGGGCAGGACCCAGCATGGTCCCTTCAGAGGGACCTCGCTACCACATCCAGACCCCAGCTGCTCCAGGCACCCTGAGATGCCTGCAAGCACAACGCTATGGGAACAAGAAGGGGAGGCTGAGGTGAGAACAGGATTTTCAGCCTCAGGTGTTCAGGCACTTCAGGGGAAAAAAATAATAAAAAAAACCTCCTTGCTGTAAGCATCGGGAGGGTTGGAGAAGGTAAGATTTGCACAGAGACAAAAGGGAGAGACGGAGCTAGATCCCACATGTCCATACTTGCTCCTGTCTTGTAAGCACTGGGGGAGCAGAAGCCTTTTGGAGCTGGTCCCCATCCCCCAGCAGGGGGTTTTCCAGCTCCTTACCTCTACAGTCACACGATGTCCATGCTGTCCCTCAGTGCCCAGCCTACCCAGACAAACCTCTGCCTCATCTCCCTGAGGGGCTCCTTGTGCCAAGGGTTCTGCAGCACGTCCTCCCTTCCCTCGGCTCCTCGCCCTGCTAAAGGAAGAGACAGAGCCGTGCTCTGCTTCGGAAAAACGAAGTTGTCGTTGTCCCCCCCCCCAAAAAAAAAAAAAAAAGAAAGCAGCTAACTGCTTTTGGTTAGCAATGTGGAAACGGGAGGCCGGCCAGCTCTTACAAAATACACTTTTGACACTGATCTCCCCAGCAGGAACAGACTTGCTCGGACCGTAGGGACGCGTACACACACCCACACGAGGGGAAAGCTCCAAGCTGGGCTCCAGCCACCAGCACCAACCCCAGCCTCCATCACCGAGAGCGGAGACCAGCTGGTGGTGCCATCAGCCTCGAAGGGGACCCACGTAGGTTGCCAATATTGCAAACACCTAGAAAAGTAAGAAGGAAGAGATCAGTCTACATCCATCAAACGAGGCAGCTAAATGAATTGCCCTTTACAAGAGCTGCGAGTGCTCCGATGGCAAATCTTTCAGAGTTTGTGACAATAAATCCCACCCCCCACCCTATTAATAACATATAATAGCGATTCTGAGAAGAATGGCCTATTATCTAAAGTCTTAAAATGACAGAGCAATCAAAAGGAAGGTGAAATATAGGGCTGGGAGAAGCAGTTCTGGGGAGTTTGCAACCTCCCCTCATGGTGCACGAGCAGATTGCAATAGATTTAGTGGTTTCTAAGATAGAAAACCACCACGAAACAAGAGCCTCATATCCTAAAAAAATATAAAAATAATCCATCAAATGCACATTTTTAAATCCTTCCCGGAGCACATATGTCAATTGTTTGCAGAGCTCAGAGGCACTGCCGGGATCTGCCACCCGAGCCTGCAGGAGATGCAAGCCCCTGCCCTCCCACGCTGCAGCTGTCACGGGGTGACAAGCAAACAGGTGGCAGCGGGGACAGCGAGGGTGACATTGGCACGTGTCCGGTGCTGCCACTAGGAGGGTGGGCCTGTAGCACCATTTTCAATATTTTGTCCCATGGGAAATGTACAGAAAAATGGAATTTAAAGCCTGCAAACTAATTTGAGGTCAAAAGTTGTGTCTGATGTCTTTTTCCTTTTTCTTCTTTTTTTTTTTTCAGGCAAAGTATGACCAAGTCTACAGCTTGTTTTCAACGTCTTGACGCTTTTTTAGGAATATGAAATTTATGAAAATTGCCAAAAACTTTAATATTTTTCCCCCATTTCTTATGACTATGCCATTATTCTTTCTTTCTCCTTTATTCTTTGTCTCTCCTCATCATCCAAGGGCCAAGTTCTCCAGAACACTGCTTTATTCAGTTATATAACCACTAGCACACACGCAAAAAAAAACACTGATCCCCCTCCTTGCATCCAGCAACTAATGCAAGAACTCCTTATGACTTAATGATGTTCCTCCACGCTTCGTTAGCTTTTATCAGGACCAAAATCAAGATTGGTTCTGAGTCCTGCAGACCTGTCATTCAAGATGGACGTGGGGGAACGGGATAACTTTCTGGCTTTCTCAGCACCGTTGGGCTTGTTGCCATCAATTTCAGTGGTGTCAGAAATGTCACCCATGGAGATTATCAGCGATAGGCTGCTGATTCTGATCCAGCCCCAATTAGCAGCTGCCTGATAATTGTTGACATTGGAGAGCTATGAAGTAAATGGGGGCCTTGATCCAATGAACCATAAAAATAAATAACCATAAAACTACGTCTGCACTATAAAATCTCACGCAACGATTGCCAGTAATGATTCCTGCTATTTATATGCGCTACCTGGCTGGGGAGGGCTCAGTGCTTAGACTCACAACAGAATCTGCCCTAGCCATCTTTACGAGAAGGTGAAGGGTTGAGCAGGCAGTGAACCTGCACCATTATCCTGCCTTGCCCCTAGTAAAACCCAAATCAGGGCTGCAATGTCGCGGGGAGATCAATCATTGTATCTCTGCCCATGGGGTCTTTCAAAAAGGCAGGTTTCGAGCACTTTTACAAAGTTCTGGGTCTCACAGTCAGCCCCGTCTCAAGCCCTAAATGACCCATTAAATGAGGTGGTGAGTCCAGGGGACAGCCTCAAATTTGCTTTGAGCACAGCTCAAACAAAACACGACCCTGCTCAAACAGACACCGGCTTGAGTTCACCTTTCCTGTCACCTCACCTTCGGTATTGCTTTAGCATGTGTGAGCATATTAAAAAGAACATATCTGCCAAAAGCATTTTCATATCAAAACCTACCGAGTTATAATTGACTTTCCCCAGAGAACATTATGTGACAACTCACTTGTGAATCAACCTGGGCTTGTAAAATGATCTTGATCTTTGCCAAAGCCCAGCTGTGGCTGGCTCTTAATGAGCCACCAGCAGGGACACAACTTCGAACTCATTTAAAAACTCCAACACTAAAAAACATGGAAACCTGGTCTGCTCTTAGCAGGTCTTCTGCCACTCCTGTACAACCCAGTGAGTAGCACAGAGGCAACAGAAAAGCTTTAATGGCTTGTTTAGGGGTCAGTCCTACATAACTCTGTGTATCAAACTCCCATCACCTTTAAACTGCAGAGGAAAAGCCTTAAATAAGCTTTCTTAGTGCTATTCTGGCCCTTACAAAAGGGAGATTTTAATACTTTGCTGCCTCTACCAAGCTTAATACATCATCGTTGGCCAAGAGCTGTGAGATCCCTTTGTGGAAGATGAGTATGAAGTTATCATTCGCAAACAGCCTATTGATGTTTTCTCCAGAGCAGCCAAATTAATACGATACCAACTCCTTGCCCACGTTCCACGTAATTAATTCAACACTCGGATGACATTTCATTTAATCAAGACGTATCATATCTTCTCTTTCAGATGAAAGAAACACTGAAGTTATAATGAAAACAGGTCGATATATCAACTACCAACTATTTCTCTCTGTATTTCTGCCGAACCCTGCAAGCCAAAAAAGAGCTGACTCCTTCCCTTCTTGATCAGCTCCTTGTTTGATATGCCAGTGATATGAGAGTCACTCTTAAGCAGTGAACTTCTCAAAATACAAAAACTACTTTTTAGTTATGTTTATTCACAGCAGAGCTGGTAACAGTTCTTTTTTCCCCACAAACAAAAGCGTGTTTTCATTTAAATAATAATAATAAAAATAAGATACAATTATCAAACCAGACCTGACCATCTGGCTTTGCATCCTGACTCCGATGGGGATCGGCTCCAGCTGTTCCAAGGGAGTTTTTTCCCCAAATCCTCTGTAACAAGCCAGTTTGCATCCTGAAACAAGAGGCTTCGATCTGCTCCAAGCTCTTAGGAGAGAATTTGCAGCTTCCCAATTTCCACCCCCACCCCTGATTTTTTTACATTGTGCTTTCAGAAGGGTAGTGCAGTCAGGAGTCAGCTAGTGAAAGAACTTGATTTTTGCACCCCCTAAGTATTTAGGACCTTCTTTAACATGTTTAACAGAGAAAAGCCTTTTGCCATACCAGGTATTTCCATATTCTCCGTATTTTGGCCAAGATTTCATGAGATAGATTCAGCTGCCTTCATATTGTACGCAGAGTGTTGAACCCCCTTCCCCAGGGACTGCTGGAGTTGCCTTTCTGGGTTCCTAATGAGGGAAGGAACTGGAATGCTGTAAACTCACAACTTTGTCCGCTTTGTGTAAATCAAAGCACAGCTGCAAAATTTGGGAACAGAAAAAAGGGAGGGGAAAAAAAAAATCTCCAACCACACACATCCAAAATATAAATACTCCTGGCTAGTAAATGTCACTTGACACTCTCACATCAAACCTGTCATCAGCTCCAGCGTTTCAAGGAAAAACACTGTTGGGGTTGAGTTCACAAATCTGTCCCTAGTTCTAATTTACAAGTAACCCTTTTGTATTAATTATTCCTAAGTACACCGCAATGACACATTAAATTTGCATGCAAAATTCTAGTTAAAGCCTGAACAAGCCAAGACCTCTGAGAAGGCGCTGCGCATAAGAGAAATGTATTGTTTTAAATAACTACCTACTGCTGAGCTGGGGCACAGAACATATTTGGTAGCAGTAAAACTGCTGGAGAGAGGCAAGAATATTTTGAAAACAATACATTTGGGTCCTGCTAACACAGGAACAAATGAATAAACATATATTAGGGAAGGTATGGGGGGTTCAAGTTGTTTTTTATTATTTTTTTTAAGCAAATAAATACAAGCACGTATTTGCATAGGCTGCTGATCCTTGGAAGTGGGAGTTAGCCTGTCGTGGTCACAGCTGTAGCAAATGCATGGAAAATGCAGGTAGCAGAAACCATGCTAATTCCCAGAGGCCAAGCATTTGCAGGGACTACCCGCAGTTCAGTGAAGCTTTAAATCAAGTTAGCGAGCACTGGCCCAGTTGTGATTTGCATGGACCTTCCCACAGTGCACCAGGATGTTTTTACCTCATAGCTGATACCATCAATGCTAAGCAAATTGCTTGCATAATTATGCATATTTGCACGGTGCCGTCAGCTGCAGCTGATGTCACTTGCTGATTATCTTTCTCCTAAATTTTTAGTCAATGGAAGCCTGTGGGTGGTTTGCTTTTTATATATTTATTCTTTTTTTTCTTTTTTTTTTTTTAATTTTTTTGGTGTGTGTGTGAGAGAGAGACTCACTGTGCCGTGCTGGGCATACTTTTAACAATATTGCTCTATTGCCACAGATGTGTTGTTTCAGATGGGGATGGGGTGGGAAAGGCATCTGGCTGAATTCTCCCTTCCCACCCCATGGAATGTCATTATTAATTATAATTTACCTTTCATATTAATCACATGATCTTCATAAAGCAATCAGACATCCACATACCACAGTCATAAAAGGATCACATCTTATCTTGCCCTGATGAATCAGTGCTCAGTACATTTTAGGTTTCCCATAATCATCTGGTGAAAGCATTTGTTCAAGCCCTTTATTTTAGATTAATAATGGACATCAGGACCCCATAAAGAGAAATAGAGGGAGAGCCACTTCTCCAGAAAACTGAATGATCCCAGAACAAAAAAGTCTGCCCTTAGTGGGGATGGTCACAGAAAAAGCAGTGTAGAGATAACACCTAACTGCTCATTACATCGTGCCACCCATCCAAAAGAAAAAAAAAAAAAGCATAATACACAAGTTTGGCCCCATCAGAGCATCCTGCTGTGCCCATGTTTTCATGGATGCTTCCCCAGAACATAAATTCACAGGCTGACATATAAAGCTGTCCAATGGGTTGGCAGGAGGTCAGGAAGGCTGGTGGCACACAATTAGTGAGATGATATCCAAGAAGGGCTCCAGGAGATGGAGGGCTGATCAGATCCAACACCAAGTAGAGCTTTGGTCAAGCCCTGACAATTCGGAAAGGTGAAGGATGAAGGAGCTGGAGCATTGTGAGGTGCGTGGCTTTC